TGTATAGTCAAGAAAACCTAGGTAAACATCTTTCTCATATTCTCTACTTTCAGCCAAGATCCATCTGATATTGAGCAGCAACAATATTCCATGTCCTCTTCCAACTCTGGCATGAGCTTCTTGCAGTTCCTTGTCTGTATATACTGCAACCATTTTAAAATTAACTTTAGTAAACTTTTAAGAGTAAGTTTCAGATTCTATTGTGACATCCATTTTAAACGATTTTGGGTTCTTTTTAATAACCTTGTCGTTTCCTCGTTTATGATGCTCTCATGGTCATCCTACAACTCACCTGGTGTTTGGTCCTTAGTGTTCAGTGAGTCAAATCTGTTCTTGTGATGGTGTCTACATTCAGAATGTACTCAGTTCTCCATGATTCTCTTTGAATCATGGAAATACATGGAAATACAAGCCGTTGAAATACATTACTGTCAGTGATAGGGCAATATCGACATGCCTACAAGAAAGATCAATTAATGGAACTATTATTTAAATTTACTTTCCAAATGAGGTCATCAAACTGTGACCTGATTGACAGGCTAGACTCCACCCCTTTACAAGTTGACAGGAGATTATGTAACTGCCATAGGAATCTAGAAGAAGGCTTTCTCTGTCTGCTTCAGGGAGAATTCTGATAGCTTATCTGGCATTCTTCTTGGTGTTCCTTTGAAATCTGCTTGTACCATCTGTTTCCCCCATTTTTTCTTTCTTGCTTCTGTGCCTGACTTGCCCATTTCATATCTAAAAGTGATTAGCTTAAGACACACCCTACCTACACTGATTGAGCTTTCTTTGCTATATTAATGAGTTTCTATTTCCAAATAGTATTTTATCCATATGTATAAGGATTAGGATTCCCACATATATTTTATGGGGACACAATTCAATATATGACAGACATGGACCTAATAGTTTGCATTTATATCATGAATAACATTAGAACTTCTTTTTCAGTTCCTTTTGCCCTCCCTTAGCACTAAGGGTAGCCCACTATTCTTACTTTTGGTTTAGATAATAATAAGGTGAGTGGTAGTCTTGGATGGCACCATTGTTAAGAGCATGGCTGCTAACTGTAGTGTCAGTAACTGGAACCACCAATGACTCCATGGGAGTCTCCGTAAGATTGTCAGCCGAGCACATACTACGGTGCAGTGCTGTTGTGTCATGTAGGGTCATTATGAGCTAGAATGGACTCAATGGCACGCAGCAACCACTGTTTTGGAATCGGGGGTTAGGCATTGGTGCTATGGTTCTCACCTTCCATGTTTGTGCCCTGAGTTCATTTTTCAGCCAGGCTACCTAAGAGCCACTCCCACCGCTCTGTCAGTGGAGGCTTGTGTGTTGCCATGATGCTGACCAGATATCAGTGGGGCTTCCAGACTAAGGCAAGGTAGACAGGCCTAATGATCTCCTTTTAAAAATTTAGTCAAAGAAAAAAACCCTGGGGATCACACAGACAAATTATATTTGTTCGGAGAATCACTGTGAATTGGGGGCTAATTTGGGGGCAGCTAGGAACAAGGTGACAAGGAGCTAACTAATTGTCTATGTCCCAGAATGGGCTTCTGGCAAACCTACTTTCATGCCCATTCCCTTTCCTGTCATTTCTCATTATTCGTGATGTCATTTTCCTGTTCCAATTCTGGGTGAAGATCTTCAGTAGGTTCAATTGACAGTTCTTATTGGGACCATTGATCTGTACTACCTGGCAGCCAGGCATTCATATTTATGAATTGACACACACAAGGAATTATTGCTTTCTTTAATCTGAATCCTGAGCTCCAAAGGCTTCGCCAGGTCTTATAGTAGAAGTACTTGTACTGTATCGGTATCCACTCTCCTTTTACAGCCTTGTCACAAAACAAAGGAAAAAACATAAATCAGCCTTGATTCTGCCACGTTGAACCTTTCTGTGTCACTAACTATAGACCTTTATTGCTCTATCTCTGAAGCTAGACAGTTGAGTATCAAAGTATTATGATTATATGCCTAAAGGTCATCTTAGATGATTGCTTTCTGCCTAAAATATGAACAGAAAAAAATGTATATGATTTAAATACAGGTATTTCACAGGCTGGATATTATTAACACAAAATATTAACCTCTATCTTGGAAAGGAGAATTATAGTTGATTGTGAGTCCATTTAATGCTTGCTCTCTGCCTGCTTCAGCTGCCTAAAATCACCTCAGTGTACTATTTCTGAGTTATCATTCAAGTGTGGCTATAAATTTCCCCTGACAAAAACCACATCACCTCATTGCCATATAAGAAAACAACAAAACAGCCAACTGTGAAGGCATGCCGGCCAACTTTTCAACATTACAGCATTGGGGGTGGGGGGTGTGTGTGTGAGACATATTTGAATGAATTGAAAGTTAGTCTAGATGAAGCCCAAAAGATAGGTTTTTCATTAAGCTGCAAAATAAAGGGAGTGTGTTTATGCCAGTAAGATTAGGGTCCCAGAAATCCCTTTGCTCCATAAAGCTAGGTAATCAATCAAGTGGGTGGGAGAACATATAAGAAAGCATAGACGAGTTGTTGTCGTAACTGACAGATCTCTAATAACTAATAGTGATAGCTACCACGACTCCATCATCAATTCTTCACCAGTTAGAGATCATCATTGGCATTTTTTCCAGAGGTGAGTATTCAGGCTCACAGAACCACAGATAGTTAGCTGTTTAGTAATTAAGCATAAAATGAAACTATCCTACTCCATTGCCCACAAAGTGGGAGATGTGTGAAATGCATATATTAACATCAAGAATTTCTTTTAATAAGAAAATGGCAGACACCTAATAAAAATAGGTCAAAGAGTTAGACACTTCACAAAAACTAGCTATTCAACTGATGAGTGAACATTAGAAAAATGCAAATTTGAACCATGTAGGAAACCATTACATACCCACTGTATTTGCTAAAATGAAGACTGTTAATCTGCGTGGACTAGAGAAACAAATCCATAGAAATTCATATGTGTACAACAAGAGAGTTTTATTTAAAGGGTAATTGTACATTAAGAAAGCATCCCAACCCAGTCCAAGCCCATAAGTCTGATGTAAGCCCATATGTCCAATACCAATCTATAATGTCCTCTTCAAACTCACGAAACACATGCAATGATGCCAAATGCAGGAAGATCACAGGCCAGTGGGTAGAAAGTCTCTGGATCCAGTGGTGTTGTAAGCATCTCAGCACTGGCAGGGGTCTCCACATGGTATCTCCAGTTCCCAGGGTAAGGGGTCTATCAGCGTAGTGCCATGTGTCTTGTCAGTAGAGTATCTCAGGGAGTGAGCATTATCAGTAGAGACTCTCCAAGTGAGTGAGTAGAGAGAGAATATGCTTCCAAAGAGGAAATCCAGCAATTTTCAGAATTCTCAGAAGACCATTCCCACCCAGAGGCCTCATTGACTATGACCCGATTGACAAGCTAGACTCCACCCCTTCACTCTGAATCCTCCCAAGTCCCAAATTGACACCAGATTATGTACCTAGCACAAAGACCATATACCAAGTGTTGGTAAAGATCCAGCATATCAGGATTTCTCAATTTTACTGACCACTCCCACTGGTGGGAGTGGTCAGTAAAACTAATTGAGGAAATTATTTAATAGTTTTGACTAAAAGTCAGTATAGGCATTCCCTATAGTCTAGCCTTTTCACTCCCAAGTGTGCAGCCAACAGAAATGTGAACATTCATATATTCATCAGAGGGTTTATAAGAATGATTTCATAGCAGTATAATTCCTAATAACCAAACACCTGAAAACTAACCAAAAGCCCACTCAGAATAATGAATAAATCACAGAATGTTCACCATGGAATACTATATAGTAGTTAGAGTAAGTAAATTATTGCTATACATAACAACACAGATGGGTCTTGCAAACATGTTGAGCAAAAGAAGGTAGATACACACAAACTGAAGAGACAGAAATAACTAAACTATTGCTATTAGAACTCATCTAGTGTTCAGTTTTGCAGGAGGATTAGTACCCAGAAGGTAGCACTTGTGGGACACTCCTACGGTACTGTCAAGTTCCTCTTTCTTGATCTGGGTTACATATCTCTGTTTAGATATTGCAAATTTATCATATCTTCCACTTGTGATGTATGGCTTTTTTAAAAGTGTATTATACCTTAATACTAAGCTTTTAAAATATCATATGTACAGATGCTAATTATTAATTTTTTAATTTTACAGTAATAGTATAAACTTAAACAGAATGACCATATATATATGCATACATAAATGGATATATATGAAACCAGAATTGTATGGTACATTGTGACCATTATTATGAGAGAAATATTAATATTTTCTGATAGTACCTCACTGACCTCAATTTGTCTAAACTTGTCAGGGTGCAGGAGGAAATGGTGAATTCTTTCAGCATCAGCATTTACTGCTGGTTAGCAATCATTCATCCAAGGCATTATTGGCTAGCCAGATTTCCAAAAGATTAACACCTTTTCTTGCATGGAGTTCTGTAATAAAGTATTCCTTATAATTTTTATACTTCCAAGAAGGAAAACATAATGCAATGGACTCTGACATTCTGAGACCTGGCTAAACAAACCCTGAACCTGCCCTTGTTAGGAAACCAGGAGAAATAATCCAGCGAACTCTTTCTCAGGAGTAATCTTCACTTGCAGTAATAACTGCAGGGGAGAGGCAATATAGAATGGAGAACATTAGCAGCAGTTTAAGAACTGTTTTACAAAGAGCTCGGGTAATATAATATGTCATCTGAGACAGAATATTTGGAATCAAGCCTGTCCTTACTTCGAGTTCACATCATCCATTGCATTTGACCACTGGGGAATCTGACCCTATCTTTTCAAGGTCATCCATTGATTGGGGGCAAAGAAGACCTACCACACTCTGGAATTTTCCAATCTTCTTAACCCTAAACAGAGACTTTCAGTAATAGAAGAAGAACGACTCAAAAGACAATAGATGTGATATTAATGCAGCACTCTTACATATGTATTGCAGCTTGCTACCCTGGAATTCCCCCCAAAGAAGCTATTTGGAAACAAGGATGAGCGTTTCATTGCTGAGAGGAGAAGTCACTTAGAGGTAACAGCTTGCTTTCTTTGAGTTGTGTAGAAAATGTGCCATGATAGGCCAGAAAAATTATTCCTGTTAAACACCATTAATTTTGTTCATGATATGAAGGTGCTGCTGCATTAACACAGGAGACAGCCATAGTAGATTATCAGGTAGTACTATCAGTATATTGAAAATAAAAGCCTTTATCACCCTTCTGGTAAATGGAATGTGCTCCTGATTTTTCATTTTGTTTTTGTTTTTTAAGGGGCCACATTTAGTCTAAGGGTTAGGATAGAGGTTGTGGGTGAGAACAAACATTCACCAGAGACAGATGGCGATACTGCAGGATGAAGGTGCAGAGCTGGCTGCAAAATTTAGAATTAATTAACTGAAGATTTATAGTATTTCATCATGTTACTTTTTCAATAGAGTTGGACATAAAAAGACATATACCTTATTTTAGTCACTGTTTCTTTGGACTTTTTTACTGTGTGACAGCTTCAAGTAGCACTCTGGCTTGCCGCAAGTGTTGTTTTCTGTCTGACTACCACTGTACATTATTGACTACGTTATGAAGTTTGAGTTATTTCTCAGGAGGGTTCTTGCTTTCGTTGGAATCTAATGCTGACAAGTCTGAGTCTAAGCACTGACTCAAAACTTCAGTTTTCTTTGAGATGAGTAGGAACGGTGGGTGCAGGGTCACAGTGTCCTCTATTGTTTACTACCTTTTTTACCTTATTAAGTCACTGAAGCAGATATGAAGACAAAAAATAAATAGCTCACTACTGTGTTTTATCAACAAGCTCAGGTTCCCTTTTGCTGTTTCTTTAATAATAAGGTCTATTGGAAATGGAAGTAAAATAAGAAGAGCTGAGAGAACCTTTTCTGAACTGTGAATTCTACTTAAAATTTTAATGTTAATCTTGTTCCTAGTGACAACATTTTGAAATGGCTTTCCATGGAATCCATTAAATGCAGATGATCCAAGAATTAGGGAAATTTCAGAAGCTACCCGTGCCAAGGGGAGGAGTGGGAGAAATAGAAAATTTTAAAAGAGTAGGATATTATAACCTATGAGAATAATTTTAGAGTTTTGAAATCTTCAATAAGAGCAGTGCAGCGGGTTATATGTTAGTCCTCCAACCACAAGGTCAGCAGGTCAAAAACAACAGTTAGGTTCCCCATGGGAAAAGGTGCCGTTTTCTGCTCATCTAGATGTCTGGCCTTGGGAGCATGGAGAAGCACTTGCCCCTGTCCTGTGGGCTTGCTCTCAGTTGGAATCTACCAATGGCAGTGAGTTTTTCCCCCTCTGATTTTGTTTTTCTTAAGGCAAAACAAGAGTCAGGGGATGGCTATGCTTCTGGGCATTTGAGTTTAACTGTAGAATTATGAATTTGGAGAGATCTTAGTAATTTTAAGTCTGAGCCTTAGATAGATCATCATAGGCTCCTAAAAATCCTATAATTCCATGACCCTAATCATTGGTTGAAGGATTTACCTTCAAAGGAAAGATGATCTTGGTGAGCCTGCTTAAATTCTCTGAAAGGTTTGATGGTGTCATAAAAAATAAACACACACACTCACAATGAATTAATTGAAAAGGAACTAGTGATGGTTTTCTTCACCTAATCCCTGTAACAGTAACCATAGTAACCAGATCACCAGTAAGAACCGTGAGGATCGTGCAAGGCAGGACATTGTGTTCTGTTGTAAAGCGGTTGGAGCTGACTCAGTGGCACCTTATAGCAATAACCACCCTTAGCTGCCTCTGTTACCTACATTTATTATTCATAGAAACAAGAACAAAGTTAATATAAGGGGAATTCAAAAACTTGAATTAACAGATAACCTCATGCACATCAGTGTCCAAGACCCTGAGGCCAGAAGAACAAGATAGTGCCTGGCTACCACTACCAACTGTTCTGAAAGGGCAGCGAATAGCAGGGAATAGAAGAAACATGTGGAACAAAACTCAAAGCCATAACAAAAGAGCTAGCTTATGGGTTGGATAGAGACCAGTGGAAACCCCAAGATCAATAGCCCTTAGTGTACTCCTCAGATCTGGAACTAAACATACCCCATAGCTCATTTTTCAACCGAACAAAAACAGATGTATGTGAGGGACCATTAACACTAGACAGTAGGTTGTGAACATTATTTCTGAAGCGCTGCCAACAACTCAGAGACATAGGTGTAGAAACTACCAGTTAAGCAATGGCGGTCACAGGAAAAAGCATTCTCAGTCTCTGGCCAATGTGTTGGTTTGAGCATTAAGGTTCGTTTAATAATACTTGAAACCAGGTATCATTATTATCAGGATAAACCATAAGAAATTGCCAGTTGTAGGTTAAGAAATGGTGGGGTAGCACAGTCTCATAATATTGTTGCTATCTCCTGTTGATTAAATGTTTACTAAGTGCCAGGTATGCACAAAATGTTTAATATGTCATTTTTTCAGCATAACCCATTTGTGATTGGGTTCTATTATTATCTCAATTTTACACAAGAGAAAATTGAGGTTCCGGAAGGACAACTAATAATAGTAAATAGCAAAGCTGCCAATTCAGATGCATCTTTTAAAATAAGCCCTTTTTCTTACTTGGCAAGTTTTAAGATGAAGTTGGGTTCTTACTGAAAATAAAAACCATTGATTTTGAATGATATTCCATCTTGTAGCATTGCCACCACCATATTAACTCAAATCTGCCTAGTTATTCTTAGAAATCTCCTTCCTTATTGAGGAATTGCTGTGCGCCCACGCAATGCAGTGTGCTACAACTAAGAACCAGTTAGCAATACAGTGCTCCTGCCCTCTCGTCATGGACTGGGACCTTTAAGCTTATCTTTGTCAACGGAAAGATGTTCATAAATATTGTTTCATTATGATTATTCATTTTAAATATTCAATTAATTCGTTGTCAGAGATTCTGTATATGAGTTACTTCCAGCTTTGTTTGTTAAAGATAAAATATGCATATTGTTCCTATGTCGAGATTTATTTGGAGAACATGTAAAGTTCACCCAAAGAGCATGTCCTGTCTAAAGTACTGAAGGTTGCTGTTGTTACTGTGTTTGTGTGCTGTCGAGTTGATTTCTACAAATAGCAAACCTGCAGGAGGGGGTAGCACTTCCTCGTGTGGTTTCCTAGGCTGTCCTCTTTAGAACCGTCACTTGTCTGTCAGTTTGTGGTGGCTTTTCTGCTGCTTTGCTGCCCGAAGCTTTGTCCCTGGTATTTCAAATGCCAGCAGGGCTACTCAAAGCAATCAGCTTGCCGCTGAGCGTCCAGACTAAGAACAGACTACAAAGACGAAATCGACTGCCCACTTCGGAGGAATTAGTGGCTGAAAACCTTATGTATGACATGGAAACATTGTCACCTGCCGAAGGCCTAGTGAAGGGAAGTGCAATGCTGTCAGAAAGAGTGCCAGAGCCTGGGCCCCGCGCGTGGGGAGGCCCTCGAAATGTGACTGCTTCCTCAAATTAGAGTCGGTCACGGTGACATGAGTGAAGCAAAGCTTGTGGGAATCAAGCCTTTGGGATCTTCATTTACTCAAGGTGTGATGAAACACAGCAAAACACTCCTAATAATCAGAACTTTGAATGTACAAAGTATGGATCTAGGAAAACTGGAAATCGTAAAAAAGAAATGGAACACATAAAGACCCATATCCTAGCCGTCATTGAGCTGAAATGGGTTGGTAATGGCCATTTTGAATCAGAAAACCATATGCTTGACACAGCCTCCAGTGAAGCAGTCAAGAGAATGGCCTTTCATTCATGGTCCCAAAGGGCATTTCAAGGTCTATGTCGAAGTGCAATGCTGACTGTGATAGGATTACATCTATCCCCCTTCAAGAAAATCCAATCAGTACAACTATTATTCACATTTCTGCACCAATGACAGCTAATGATAAAGAAATTAAAGAATTCTGTCAGTGTCTCCAGTTCAAAATTGATCAAACATGCAATCAAGATGCATTAATAACTTATCAACAATTACAATGCAAATATTGGAAACAAAGAGAAGACAGTAGTTGTCAAATAAGTTCTTAGTGATAGAAAGAAACCTGGTGCTCATAGATCTATTTCCCCATCCTCATATAAATATATTTGCATATGTACATGTCTTTATCTAGACCTCTATAAATGCCCTTTGCCTTCCAGCTCTTTCCTCTATTTCCCTTGACTTTCCTCCTGTCCCACTATCATGCTCAGTCCCCACCAGGATTTCAGCACTTCCTCTTTGTTACATTCCCCTTGATCATGCCCTACCAGGTCTCCCACGCCCACCTCCCCACCAATTTGGATCGCTTGTTGTTCCCTTTTCCCTGGGTTTGTTAACACCTCTTCCCTTCCCCCCACCTCCCCCTCTCCCATGTCCCCCCAGAACTGTCAGTCCCGTTGTTTTCTGCTGCTCCCCTCCCCTGCCAACTCTTTCCTATTAATGGAAAGCACATCAGATGAAAGTAATGTAGCACAGCTCAGAATGTAGACTTAGTGCTGTGCGTGCCATTTATAGAGTTCAGTATAGAACATTTTTCATTACTCTGGTCACTTAAAAATAAGTGAAGTTAGGCCTGAACATTGCAGTGTTAAACAGATGTTGGGCTGTTGCTACTCGCCTGCTAAGTACAGCAAGACATTGCTATTTGATTTTGTTTTTTTATTATCGCTTTGTGTCTGCAACAGAAGTAGGTATCCCAAGTGGTACAGGCAAAAGGGGCATCTGCGTAAGCTCACTCCCTTACCTGGTACCTGGAGCTGGCGTGCCTGCTGCCTTGTTCAGAGGATGATGTCACCTTCAAATTGCTGTTGACACGATTGTTTATTATGCCTAATTTAATAGCATTTTAATACTGTCTCCTTTTGCTGCCCCTTACATCTCACAGCATGCTGTGGCACAACAGGGGCGATAAGGAAAGGGTTTTTAAACTGAAGCACTTCACTTCTAGACCCCAGTGGAAGTATCAGAAATATGGCCAAAAGTAAGGATAAGGAACTCCTGGTCTAGAGATGTGCCGACAGGT